TATATAATATTATAAATAACTTTTAAATAAAAAATTAATTATATAATAATATAATTATATTATTTTCATCCAATTTTAAGAGTTTGGATGAGGCTCTTCCGTTTCCCGTTTTCTGCATTGTCTGATTCCCATTTGAAACCACTTTTCCAAGGTGGGCTCAATCTCCCGTATTTACCGCTTCAACAGAAGTTCGCTGATGCCACCGCAATCTTGGCCACGCGTCGTCTGTTTATTGCTCTTCTTCTTTTTCTTTTTCTTTTTCTTTTTTTTGTAAATAGGCAATGGTTTATTGCTCCTTTATGGACGCAGTGTTGGCGTGGTGCTTTCCAACCAGGAACCACCTATTTTGCCAACTAATCACGCGGGATGCATGTGGCCTTCCCCCATTGGCCCACACGAACCATGCCATCCACCGTTTTTTACCCACACCCACATGTCGACTCGCAGCCGGGCCTATCTGGTCTCTCCGCCAGTTCTATGACATCCACTTGGGTTGCGCCACGTGGCGATCGATTTTTTTTTTTTAAGAAAAACAAGCGGAATTTGAGAGAAACCAGGAGATATTCCCTCTGTTATTTTTTTTTACGTTTGATTGTAAATTATATAAGAGATAATATTATTTTTTATTTTTTATTTTAAAATTTAAATTTAAAATTTTTAACTGAATTGTTCGTTTCGATTCAGTGAAATTAAATCTTAGGTTAGAATTGTTTACTTCCAGTGAGTTGCACGTTCGAACTCTACGAAATTTTTTTTTGTCTTTCCTTTAATTAATCATGAAAATAATTACAAATTATTCAAAAAAAAATTTAAAATTTTTAAGTTAAAATCTCATCTTTTAATAATTAAATTACTCCATTGGATGATAATACAACTGTTCTTAAAGACTTAAACTTTCGCAAAGATTAAAGTTTTTACAGCACATTTCCAGTCAGATTTTGAGGCTACTAGTGCAATGGAGTTTGGTTTTATAACCGAAAGTGATACAAAAATATTGCAGTCACAGTACCAGTACTGTGTGCTTACATGGCGCACTCAGAAATTCATATAAGGGGAAGTAAACTTTAAAGTTATTATATAAAAGTATGTAGTTTTAATTTAAATTAATAATGTTTTTTAAATTAATTTAAAATTACTACTATACCTTATTAATTATAAGTATTTTTTTAATGATATTTTTGTATTTCTAATTTTTACCTAAAAATGATTAAAATCGCATGCCAAAATAGTAATTAAATATAAAATTCAAATAATAATTGTTAAAATAAAAAAAATTCAAAGTAATAATATAAATTAACATTTAATTTATCTTTATTTTTCTTATTTTCATATTTTTCATTTTTCTCAATATCATAAAAGTAGTGTATGATGAATAAAGAATAAGAAAATGAATGATATATAAATAAAAGTTTTAGCATTGAAAATTAAAAGAAAAAAAGTTGAGGATCAAAATAAATTTAATCAAAATAATAAAATAATAAAATATTATCTTTTCAAAAGTTTGGGGAAACTGGCCCTTAGCTCTGTCTAGAGCTTACAACATATATAATTTACATTAAATAATTGACTTTTTTTTCTTTTAAGAGTTTGTTAATGATATGTATGCATTGGTATTGTAAGTTTATGATTTTAAATGATATTATAACTATAATATTATAAAAAATGATATATACATTTATTTTTTTAATGATACATTATTATTATAAATTTACAATAATACATAATTATATGATATTGTAACTAGTACTCTTATATTGTTTTTGCTTTATAATTATTGTATGGTCACAAATGTAATTAACTAAGATATCAAATTGAATTAAAAAAACAAAATAATAAAAATAGCATGCTATGTTTGAACAAAATTTCTTATAATCATTTATGAATAGACAGGGCGCTTAATACCATGCACCAACCGCTTTTTCCCAATGGTTAAAAAAAGGAGCACAACACTCCTTTAAAAATTGTTCTTGTTTATTCCTTTTTCTAGATAAACTTTGACTTTAAATGGATTCAATTGTGGACTAACGAAGAGGTTTCCTAGCAAGGAAACATGTTTTTGGTGGGTTTCAATGGAAGCATGTGAACTAACATGCACCATGATTGGAGGCTGCTGCATTATGTTGAATGTATTCACCTACAGGGATTTTGCAGATCAAAATTTGAGACATTTTTTCTGGAAGATGTTTAAATTGTCAATATTAGTGATATTTGATTGACATATGAATTATTGGGCCGCTATTAATTGTACTATTGTTCTAGTTAAATACTACTTTCAGTCTTTAAACCTTTTAAACTTTGTATTTTTTTTTAAAAATCTTAGTAACTTATATCAATTTGATTCTAGAATTAATTACAACATTTTATATTAAGAATAAAAAAGTACTTAAATTAGTTTAATTGAAATGAAATTTTTTATGTGCATTTAAGAGTTAATTAAGACACAAAAAAAAAAAAACTAAAATTCGTAATTTACCTTAAAAACAAAGGGTTTTTTTTATCCAATATTCTTAGGATATAGGATAAATGTGTATTTAT